ACTGGGGACGCCTTGAGCGCCCTATACATATACTCCAGAAAAAGGGTACTTCTCTGTAAGTCAAAGTTCACCGCGCACAAAGTTGGCTACAAGTATAGCACATTGCAAGTAACTAACCCATGTCATCATCTTCTCCTCCCCAAGCCCAATACATGTTTGAATAGCCATTGATGTAGCGATAATCGTCCATCGACACAGCCAACACACCTCCCACGATTTCCTTGTACCATAATCTGCAAAAGAATGCCTAAAAATTAAAGGAACAAGTGAGAATAAAGCGAATTACAAAGTACTGTAGTACTGGATTACAATATTAACAAGACAGCTTCCATAGTAGCAAAGGACGATTAACCGAGCCGGAATCTTTGCAATATGCTGTTATCATCCAACATATATCATTATCCTACAATTTTAGCTTATTCCCAACCTTCAATGTGAACTCCATATTCCTGGAATCTCCTCTCTGGTTGACTATGCGCGCGGTCTCTATTTGTTAGCACACAAAAAATACCACGAAAATAACAAATGATGGCAATACATCTTGAATAATTGGAATTCGTTGTACAAGGTTCATTCTGCACGACAGCGCGGCACTCATAGCACCGCAGCTGTCTCTGCGTCCTGTTCCTTGGAAGTTTTGTGCTTCCCCGACCAATTCCATTTCCATTCTAAGCAAAAATAGCTGAGGCAGCCATAGCTCGTCTTATGTTTTTTTGTTTTCAAGAGGTGATAAGTACCGATAGCGACTGAACAAATTCAATCAGTATATTTGCAAAAAAAATAAAAACAAGAAAAACTAACTGATATCCTAGATTGCTAACGAAAGCTCCCATATGCCTTGGCGATGGAGGACAGGAATACGGGTTACGGTCGTCTTGTGGAAACATATCGACGTCGTGGAAAATGACACAATCAACACCCAGCGTCTCTGCGAAGCGAAATGCCGCGTTCATTATGCGTCCTTTGTTGAAAAGGTCGTTTCCGTACTGAACAGGTATCTATAGCTCTCTCTCCAAATGATTTAAAAGGTAACCCTAATATAACCACTGCCTCCAACCAAACACTGACTGGAATTATGGGCAGGGTTCCCTTAATCAGTATATAAGTAGTCAGTATAGTTCCGTTCGAGTAATCAAAAAGAGTTGTCCGAAACATCATCTTGGAGCCCATCGCGAAGGGACTGCAACTGCTTACGGAGCGCAAAATATCTAGGAAGAATTCAAGGCTTCATAGTAACCAAACGTACAAAGGTTGCGCTTTGACTAAAGCGTCATTAGAAAAAGGCCCGCGAAATGCAACGAAGCGCTAACATACGCTGAAAAATGTTTCCATGTTATCCGAAATGCCGGGTAAATGAAAAAAGTAACGATTAAGCGTATTGTCAGGCGATAACACTGACATACAAGAATCGCAGAAAGGGAAAACATTTACCGAGGAAATACTGCTTCCGAAAAGCCTCGTGGTTTAGAGTGGCATATCCGCCACAGAAAACACGCCTCTAACTATTAACGATGAAAAAGGGAACTCAATACTCGCACCTATCAAAAGGATTCTGAATGAACTAGGAGAACTAAA